CGATCACGCAGAGAAACTCCGAGCATAGCCCTCTCCATTGCCCTCTGAGTGACTCTGAGCTTGTTGATGGGGCCCATAGTTAGCGACCACGTCTCTGTTCCGTAAGTCATCACTGGCAACACACATTGGTCGTAAACCTTCGTCTTGAGACACTGCGGAAATTTGGACGAAAAGATATATCGGAGCTTCCCGAACGCTGCCCATCCGAGTTGGATTCGACGATTGACCTCTTTCTCGAAATTGGATCTACCTAGCTGGATAGTTTGCCCTAAGTATACGTAGTGATCGACAATTTCGAGTGTAGAATCTCCGATTTTTACGGGAGCAGGTACGACATGGACGTTTGACATAATTTTCGTCTTGTCCGTGTTCATTTTAAGACCTACTCCTTGTGAGACTCTACTGAGGTCTTCGAGCATTTTGCTAAGGTCTTCCAGGGTCTCAGCCATGACCACGATATCGTCGGCAAATCGAAGGTGATTGATGTACTCGCCGTTAATGTTGATGCCCAGCCCGCTCCAGTCCAGAAGCTTGAAGACATCTTCCAACGCAGCGGTAAACAGCTTTGGCGATATGACATCGCCTTGTCTGACACCTCGCTGCAGTTGGATAGGCTTCGAATTCTGGTCGTGGAGGCGAACTGACATAGTGGCGTTTTCATACAAACATTTCAACGCTTCGATATATCGATAGTCAATTTGGCACCGCTGGAGAGACTGTAGCACAGCCCACGTCTCGATCGAATCAAAGGCTTTTTCATAGTCCACAAACGCCAAGCAAAGTGGCAGGTTGTATTCTTCGGTCTTCTGAATTACCTGCCGCAGCGTATGAATGTGGTCTATGGTACTGAAGCCTTTTCGAAACCCGGCTTGTTCGGGAGGCTGGAAGTCGTCAAACCTGCGCGCGAAACGATTCGTGATGACTCTCAAAAACAACTTATAAACATGGCTCAGCAGTGTTACGGGTCTGAAATTCTTCAGAAGCGATTTGTCTCCCTTCTTGAAGAACAGAACCACCACACCCCTTTGCCATGCTTGAGGCGTTTTGCCCTCGAGGATGACGGAGTTGAATAGCTTCTGGAGGATTCGTAGAACAGGTCTACCTCCAGCCCTCAGAAGCTCAGCAGTAACTCCATCATCGCCCGGCGCCTTGTTGTTTTTAAGTTGTTTAAGAGCCATACCAATCTCGTACAGGCTGACGTCCGGGATATCTTCGGTATAGTGTCGGGTTAATTTGGCTCTAGGGTCTTTCGCCGTGTTGTTAACAGGTGCCCGTGTTGTCCTGTATAACTGTCCATAGAACTTCTCAATTTCCCTCAAAAGTTCGGGTTTAGACGAAACGATCCTGCCGTCATCCGTCTTAAGTCGCGTCAGTTGGCTCTGTCCGGCAGCCAGATCCCTGTTAAAGACTTTTAGGCCCTTGTTTCTCTCAATAGCCTCCTTTACACAATTTGTGTTAAAGTGGCGTAAGTCACGAGTCAAGGACTTAGAGATCTGCCTGCTAAGTTGCCGATACTGAGAAGCGTCAGTCGGAGACTGCAGGACCATACTTCGCCTTTCATCCATCAATTTGAGGGTAGAGATAGATATTTTTCCGGTTCTTTCTGCGCGGCGGGTTTTGAAGTGCTTAGACCCAGCCGCACGGACAGTTTCCACGAACCTGTTGTTGTAATCGTCCACGTCAACGCAGTCACCAAGGCTTTCGAAACGGTTTTGCAATTCTAGCTGAAAGCGTTCGGGGTTTTGGATCTGTATAGGTGTAGGGCGGAGCGTAGATTTCATCAGTCTGGATCGTTCGAGTTTCAGATTCAGATTCAATGTGCCTCTTACAATCCGGTGATCACTTCCAATTTTGACGGCATTGATCACAGAGACATCATTGAAAATCTGTCTTCTCGTTGACAAGATGAAATCTATCTCGTTTTTTGTGGCACCATCGGGACTAATCCACGTCCATTTCCGGTGTTCCGGCTTCCTGAAGAAGGAGTTCATCATAAAGAGGTTCTCCTTCTCCATGAAGTCGGCCAGCATTTGACCTCGGAAGTTCCGATCACCGATACCAAATTGCCCCACTCTCAGCTCATCACCGCTTCGTTTGCCCAATTTTGCGTTAAAGTCCCCCATGATAACGTTATAATGAGTCTTTGTACTATGTATGGCTCTGGAGATATCCTCATACATAGCCTCAACCTCATCGTCGGAGTGCGTCGAAGTTGGAGCGTACACTTGGATGACCTTCAATGAATACCGTTTGGTAATTCTGAGTATCAGGTACGCTACCCTAGTCGACACGCTCTCGACCTTGATAACATTATTCACAAGGGACCTGTGGATGAGGAACCCGACACCGCCTTGGGACAGTTGATCGCCCTCCCGGAAGTAAAGCAGATTGCCCGATTTCAGGACTATCGAGTCCTCCCCTTTTCTTCGGACTTCAGATAATCCCACGACATGCCAGTGCAATCTGCTCAACTCTTCCTCCAGTTCAGTTAACTTTTCGTCGGTCCGCAGTGTTTGAACGTTGTATGTTGCCAGGGCCAGTGGTCGTCGTTTGTGGTAGCCTGGTCTTACCCGGAGATTCTTCGCACCCCCTGCCCCGCCGTTTCCATGACCGCTACCATGATCAAGACTAGCGGGGCCGCCGGGGACTGGGGGCCGGGGCCTTGGGTGTAAATTCATTTGGGGGGATATTGCCATAATCGCCACGCTTGGCATGCGGGTTGGCGATCGCAGTATGATGGTAGGTACTCAGTAGGACGCTGCTGCCCGTCCACTGGTCGATGAATCCCTTAGTCGCCTTTTACGACACCCACGGGAAGAGAGGGGGTGGTGCTATTCTTACAGCGACACCACACGCTTTATGTATTTACGAAAAAAAAATTATCTATGTATTTGTATCAGTAATCTAGTACCCATAACACAAGCTTTAGCTAGCTTAACTTGTGTCTAGATGGCGCTATGTGAATTGTCCTGAGATTATTATTATATATGTTCAATATGAAATACAAACTCGACTTGAAAATGTCAACTAAGACTAATTTGAAAAACTATGTACACATTTTCGTAAGCATGTCCTAACTTACTTGGTTTTTCGATTTTTAACTACCTAGTATATCACTACTCACATTTATATATTTCAAATATGTAGGTACTTCTATTTCTATAACCTTATATATATTTGTGATTAATTAGTAACATGGTAAACCTGAAATAAAATTTTAGGTAACAATCTAAAATATAAACCTTAATCAATTTTTTGACATCCTTACTAATTTTAGTTTACCAAAGTAAACCTAAATAAGCTTTATAAGACCACGTAACTTTTTTCTATTTCCAAAGATTCGAACCAAGTATGTCGGTCGTTGATTCTTTGGCATCATTACATTCACTAATAAGTTTACCAAAGTTAGCAAAAATAAGCTTTATTAGAACACGCAACTTTTTGCTACTTCCAAAGATTCGAACCAAGTACCTCGGTCGAAGATTTCATACTCAAACGAGTGCATCAATAAGGAATTCGAATCAAGCTGTTCAATAATTCATAGTATATACTAAGCTAAAGCTCTGTACTTCACATGCCCCCCGCGTAGAGCATTTTTCAATCGTCATACTGAATAAACCAAGGAGTAAGGCATAAGGACTAGAATATAGATGGTACAAACCTCTGTGAGAATTTAAAATATCTCAAACAAGTACCTGTGACTTGTTTATTGTAGTAGCCTTGTATGTCTTACATACTCAAATATAACAAGAATCTTGAAATATTACATAGCATCATCTAGACGAAAGTAAGGAACTAAAGACCAAGCTAAAAAACGCTTGTAAAGTGTTTGCAAAGCAGCTGTTAAAATACATCAATATTTTATTATTCATAACACAACTACAAATAAAGTAGTAAGTAGATAACTTAGTACTTTATTTGGAGATGAACCTGTGTCACAATATATTGTAAAAAAAAGACCTAGACTAAAAGATATACTAATACAATTTTGTATTGCACGAGAATTGAACTTACAAGCATTAAAAAGTAAGGCATGGTGTTAAATAGATAAAATCATAACTGAATCAAGTATAAAAGAAATAGATTTCAAGCCTGTATGTATGTTTTCTAAAAAGCCAATTGATTATATTGGCACTAATGTTCACCAATATGTAAGAAGTAGTTTTGAAACATACGTGTATGTTTATTAATTTACTTAGAAAGTCTTAATTAATAGAATATTTTGATACCAACATTCAAATAGACAAATCAGATGTATGTATATCCACTTCACGCCACCTTCCCTACGTGACAAGTGTTTATTATAAGTAAGTATAATATATATCACAAAACAAAAATAAATCTTACCATTTTATAAATCAATAAAGATACAACTATAATTATTAAAAACTGAACCAAATCCGGGCACTTAAGGTCAATGTCAACTCGCGTGTTACATAAATACGGTAGTACATACTACATATAGTGTTGATCTAAATGTTACTACGCTTTATAGTGGCATAATTAATATATTTATGTAGGTATTTTTATAACTTCAAATTAATTCATATTTAATAAGCAAATATGTATAGATTTCAAATTGAATTGCTGATTACGAATTCAAACCAACGTGTCTGGCATTGTCAGCATATGGTCATGAATATGACAATTTTTATCAAGTCGTCTATTGTTAATAATCTCGCACGTAGACATATATATCCATTGCAAGATAAGTTAATAAATATAGCTGGAATCAATAATAGACTGGTTCATATTTTAATAGAAATACTAAAGCATATACTAAATATTAGCTTTAATTAGATGTAACAAATCTTTACTTTTAAAAATTGTGATTCCTGTCACGAATTTCAGCATGATGTCTCAAAACAGTCTATCAAAGAACAAATTCAACATTTCAGGCGAAAGCTTAATCGTTTCCTACTACAAACTTCGTTTTAATTTGGTACGGTTCTGCGAACATAGTCGAGGATTTACAAAGGAATTTTGAATTAAAAACTTACGCTTGTTATGGTTAATGTAATAAGGTCCAATTTGTGGATCGTACGCCTCCTCCCAACCATGCGGTAGCTCATTGCCGATACAGTCCGCAAAGGACTGGGGTTTTGTGTATCTGAAACAAATAAAAAACAATATTAATCAGTGGAGTCGACAAAATACTGACATCATTAATGACACTATGTTCTGACAGAACATTATGTTTACTATTAGAAACTGATATTATGCTTAAGCGATTATGATTTATCTATCTTTGAATAATAAGGTGTCATAAAGATATAATATATAGCTAATAGAATTAGGAATACAAAAATAGGTATTGCGTAAATTAAAATTATTACCGTCATCAGCAAACGCTTTACATCCATATCTGTTCCAGAATTCTAGAAAAGTCAGAAGACTCTATTGTAGCAAAATGTTTAATAAAAAGCTTATCTGGCTTTTAATTTAGGTAGTCCATCTAAGATATTTAGACCCATTACTCAGGTTCACATCTAAATAGAGCTTATTATGTTCACGTTTCATAAAAGACATACTATGGTAAATTTTGCATACTACTCCAGCGGTATTTGACGGTCATGTCCAGTCTAGATAAATTTCAACTTGGCACCTTTTACATCAACAGTGGTTGGTTTGTGTTAGAACACAGTCTACGATTTTGGATGTGATCCATAAGTTTTACTTTCAACATTACTACATTCTATTATCCGCTAGAAGACCCTGAGGATGGAAGGGTTTGACGGACGGGAAAAATTATAATCGTGTTGAAAGGTCTTAAAATGGAACTCTAGTACATTCATTTGTTAAAACATGACCCATGTTATGTTACATGCTGATAATAGCTGTAGGTGTAATATTTTTTCAAATCAATACAATTTTTGTTGTGTTTATCTATTGCAAACATACAGAAATAAAATCTCTCTTTACCACTCATTACTAATTTCAATAATTCTTCCAACTTTTGCGATTGCGATCCATAACATATTATAGACAGAGTAATTGGTTTAGTATAGTCTTCATTATAATAACATAGATACTGGCATTATAATAACCCAAACTGCTCAAATCCCAAAGATGCAAAGTAAAAAAATATTCCTATTCAAAACGCAACAAGCAACTCTTCCCACGAATTTACAGGGGCGAACCCATTAAACAGTTCCTATTACTATCATTAAATCAAAATAAAAACAACCAAGCCCCGTTATTATTTCGAATCTTTCGACCGGATAATTTTTACTAGTTATTTAGTAATATGGGCCGTGTCTGACAGAGGCCAGAGCGTAGTCAATTTTGTTTCGATCTTGTGTGTAAACAAGTATTTTTTTTTATAAAACCTGTCCGAGAGTTAATGTAACAGGATTAGCTGAACACCTATCATTTACTGAATAAATTATTTGAAAAGCCAGTGCTCATGTTGTGTGGCTTCTAAGTCGCGCTGTCTCGTATAGAATGTGAATATTTTAACTTTACGACAGTAAAGTCTCAATTCAATTAAAAATAGTTTCTTTGCGGAGTTGATATCATAACCTTAATTACATTACAAGTATATTGAACCAGCATTGGATGTAGTTTTACTTGCATTATTCATTGCTATGATGCTTGCTGTAGCTTGTTTCATAGGAATTTCTGATTTTGTTTTTTTTTTATAAGTGACGCTATTCAAGATACATATCAAGTTGCCAGGTCCACTGTTCGGTTTATAATTAAACTTTTTACTTTTGTGTTTATAGACCATTTATTATAAGATCATATCGGAAAACTGCAGAGCTATCACAAACCGTCTGCTTGTTGTATCTTTAAATATTTTAAATAAATTTTACTCACTCTATTAAATTCAAGAATATGATTATACTCCATTTTAAAGTCTACGAAAAACTTAAACACGTTTTCATTCTGATAATAAAATTCAAATTTGACCGTAAATGTTAGTACCTATTTGCCGGACCAATGCGTAATTTCAGGTTTGATGAGTAACCTACTTATGGTTGAATTGGTTATGATCGTCCAAGTCTCGTCGTACTACTACGTTTCTAATACTTATCTATACATACGATACAAGTATGATGCATCTATTTTCATATACACATAATTATTTAATTCATATGTAATGATCATCAACATATAAATAATGCCATAAAAATTGTCGAACCGACAAAATTTCTTTGAAATTTTGTTTTGTCTTCATGTTTAAAGAAGATAATAATTATTTAGGTTTATTTACTTCACAAATTTAAGACATGTTTTTGTTTCTTTGTTACATACTCTTAGACTTGTAACAATTTCGCTCCACCTCAGCTTGTCTCGTGATGCTCGTAAATTTCCAGTTGCATTATTGCCGAGCTTTTTATTGTTATAGTCGTGATTATGGATACTATTAAACAGAGAAAGCCTGTATGAAATCTGTAAAGTATTCATTTTATAAAAATCACAATGCAAAATCTCATCATCATCATCATTAAAAACCTGTACCATCTCAATGTTAAACATTAGGCTCTTCTGATTAGAAAGGCGAATTATGCCAAAGTTGTTTGGTATAGGGTTTTATTTCTAATTGTCCATCCTTTTCGTCGATGTTTATTTTTTTATCATTATTCAAATGCTTTGCACCAGTATTCTTGATTTAAGGAAATAATGACAGTGAACGAAAGAAAGCACATGTTGATATTTTACTCAGCGTACTATCATACTACTTCATACCCGTGACTTAGCCTTATTTTTTGATTTAAAAGATAGCTTCTTTATGATACAATCTATCTTCACGTTAAACTTCATTATGATCTGTATGTCATAAAAAGTTAAGAAATAGCCAAACATACTTTTTTATTCGGAAAAAATCACGATATAGTGAGTTTTATGCTAAAGTTATAAATTAATAGTAGATATTTTACGTTCAAATCTGTACACGATATAAATAGAAATGGCCCTTTGAATTTCTCTTGACATTTGATGAAAAATGCGCCCTCGGCGTTGTAAAAGTTAATTTCATTTCACAAAAACAGGTGCAATGTATCGTAGTACGCAGATCATGCAACTAGGGGATAATTAATAGACATCACTGGTGCTAGAGCCGCGGGGCAGGGCGTGGTTTGCTGGCGCCAGCGTCCAGCATCATGGGCCACTTCGTACAAGTTTCGATTATGATTCACATCCAGTTGACCAACAAAAAGTGGACCTTCGCGTTTCCGATGGTGACGAAATCGAGTGGCGTCTCATACGCATCGCTGCTAACGGTTCTTGCTTTTTAATATGGCGTTTATACGGTAGTCGGATATTATAAGATTCTTCAGTTAATTGGCCACGTTAATGTCCAGTTTTGTGTTCGGGTTTTTAAATTGTAGAGTTTGCGCGATGGTTTGCTAAAATTATTGTCATTGGAGTGTGTGTATAATAGCTATATAATTTTGAAATAGGAAAGTAAGGTCTGACTAGAATGTACTATGCCGTCACTATATTTATTTATTTATATATAGTTTGCTTTATTTTACAAATTAGACCAAATTACTACCTAAAAAGACATTCCTAATGAACATTAATAAATCTCAAGATATGTGTTAATATAAGAATATTTTAAAAAAATTAGATAATTTTTAATTATCTACATAATAATATATCTTTACATAGTATAAAATGAAGTCACTTCCGCTATCTGTTCGCTTAGACCTTTTAAACTACGTAACAGATTTTAATGCAGTTTTTAACAGTAGATAGAGTGATTAAAAAGGTTTATACGTATAATACATACATACATATATAGTATATAGTACATAATAAAACATAGTCACCCACCAAATAAATCAAATTGACTGTCTATATTTTCGCGATAATCTCAAAAACTTGTGAACGGATTTTTATTCAATTTTAATCCATCAATAGAGTGATTTCTGAGGAAGATTTAGATGTATAATTCATTAAGGTCTTACGTAAACTAATTGCAATACCTCTAGTATTATATATTTTTACACCAAAAGGAGTAGAAATATCAACATTATAAGTCCAATATCAACATTATTTGTATCAATTTAAACCACTCTTTCATACAAACATAAACATCCAGAAATACTACCTACTTTAATAATCATTTGCCTATGAAAATGCAAATTAAACTTTTTATTAATTAACTACTATTATATGCTGTGGATTTAAAATTTAATTAAAGGATTTCATTTTATGATATTATGAATAACAATGTAATTTGCATGTCTTTAGATAATCCCGTTTATATTCAAGGTTTGGAAAAAAAATAATATTCTGAGATAGAAACAAAACATATATGATTTAATGGAATTGCAAATCATATTCCAGATTATGTATGTGCACGATGGCCCAGTGGTTACTACGACTTAAAGATAGTGAGTTCAAATCTGATCTACACCTAAAATTTTGTGTTAATTTATATTCTTGATGTGTCATGGAAAGTACTGATTGAGCAAATTAATCCCAGTGAACCACAGTAGGCGCGCTTTCTGTCAGGTTAGATTTAAATACAGGTAAATTCAATTCAATTATAATTCTTTTTTAAACATTTTAAATGTCATAAGTAGAACAGCGATCACTAACTTGTCAAGTATGGGGAATAGTGACTACAATATCTAAAATAGTCATTACTGTGAATGTAACAACAGTAGGTCATCATACAATATAAATAAACAAACAATAGATACATTTGTCTATTGCGATAATGCAATTTAACTCTAAAACGTTCATAGACATTGGTTAAGCTATAGCATATTGAAAATTAATGTTACTTTGTAATAACACAAAGCTCTTGTGAACTGTGAAGCTTTAACGTAAGTAAAACTTCAATGGGAAATTCGTTACTCCTTCCGTACAGCTACCGAACGCGCGGCGTCCATTTCAAAACACGATCACTCTTATCGAAGTGAGGGGATAGAGAAGCGTGCGTGCGCGCATCCAATTTATTGACGATAGAGCGAGACAGGGACACGCAATATGACTGAGGGAACGAGACGAGCATAGATACAATGTTGCCGCGCCGTGGTGGAACGGCAAAACCAGTCCTGTCAGCGGTACGTCAAGACAAGTCGAGTTCTTGGAAACGGTGACCCGTGTCACGGAATCCCTAGCTGCACACGCTGACATAAACACACACACACA